CCTGCTGGGATACTTCCAGACAAGTTATTCTCCCTTAAATCCAAAAACTCCAGCTTGTCTAGATCTCCAAGTTCTTTGGGAATAGTACCAGAAAAACCGTTCTTGCATAATACACTATTTCAAAGTAACAAAGGGAGCACATCAGAATTAGAAATGTATTTAATTATAAATATAAATTACTATATTAAGTCAACTGAACTGTTGGATTTTTAAACTTCTGAAGTAGCGCCTAATTTTGTCTTTTTATGGTATAAAAAGAACTAAAATAACCAAACAGAAGAGCTCATCCTGATAATCTGTCTAACAAAGACAAGGAACCCTCATGGATTTAAGAAGTTTTCATATTACATTGTATTTGGACACTAACATGATATGATAATCCAGCTGAGAGCAAACTAACTGTAATTTTTTGGAGTTGAATATTTTCAGGGTTCCTGGTGGGGAGAGAACTGCAATATTGCAGGCAGGCTTATAAAATTAACTTTGCATAGAAGATGGGAGAAGAAAAGACTTGAGGAAGTAAAGAAAGAAAGATAAAAATGATACACAGATACAGACAACTCCTGTGTTATTGGCTGCATTCCAGACAGAAGAGAACGCGGGCAGTGTGAATAAGGAATACAAAAATGATACAATTGTAACAAGATACATGCAAGTATCACCAGTTCTTTTTTCAAGCATATCATGATTCTTAACTAAATTTAAGAATGGTCTCTATATGACAAATACTGACTTCTTAGATTAAGTTACATTATTATAAGATAAAGTTCAATCAGTGCTTTCACCATCATAACATGTGTTATACTTTTGACATAGGTAAACAATGGATTTCCTTCTTTTTTGGGGGGTACACAGGAACGTGGTCAAGAACCCTTACATGGATTTTAGATGACTAAGTTTCCCAAGCTCAGGAGCCAACGTCCCTTCCAAAGATAGATTGGTTAGGACCCTGCGAGAAATAACGGGAAGGCACAAAATCCCATAAGCTGACAAAATTCAGCACCGCATTCACATCAATCAAAATGGGAGCTTCCTTTTAGCATCAAGAACAGCTATCTATATATATTAGTGTTTGGTAAAAAGAAAATTAATACCGTCTCGCTGGAAAACTTAAAAAGGAAATCAAAAGGAACTTACAGCATTTGCACTTTATCATCAACACAACGAACACCAAACCACTTGCAAGGGTTGCAATCATTTGGATTCCAATTTGCCAGAGCACCAAAAGGATCAGAATTTATTCTTACCCGAAATTCCAACAACGCTAAACCTGCAATGTCCATTCCAAATACAAGAACAAAAATCAAACATGAAGATCACGAGAAATGCATCACATGATTCACTGTAAATTAATTAGGGAGAATAAATATGCAAATCACCTTCATCGTTCAGAGAGCAACACTGTTGAGTTCCGCATAGAGAAATCAATCCAACAAAAACTCTGAGCCACAATCCAAAGAGCCCCCATATGATTCCCATAACTATGCGAGGGCAATGCCAAATTGGTCGAGACAATATCTGTTTTATCTCCTTAGAGACAAAAAATCACATGATAAGTCATGTCATATGTAAAAATTTGGAAGGTTTTCGCTGTAGATAGAAACCCTTCCACGTATTTGGATGAAGAAGCAGCAGAAAATTCAGTAACTACGTAAAACCTGTGCATTACAAGGGAAAGCAAAAACAATTGAAGCTCTTGGGTCCGAAGATCACATCAGGGTCCCTCATTTTGTTCAGCAATATCTTCGTTGCAACCCTTTGCTCAACATCTCCCTCTCGAATGCCTCCCAGCAATGAGGGCTGGGGCTGTCAGAAATCAGAGGCAGAGAAACAAAAATAAATGTTTTTTTTTTTAATTGAGAAGCAACAAAAGCATAAGAAAGAATAACCCCATGGGCAAGCAAAGTGTGTGGATGTAAAAAATAAGAAAAGGAATGGAAAAAGCAAAAAGGGCATTGAATTACCATGCAGATGGGAGGAAGGGGTGCAGGAAAAGAAGCCCCTTTGATGGAAGAATGAACAATGTGTGATGACGCAATGCAATGGAAAATGGTGGGGTGGTAAACTGAGAGAGAGAATGAGAAAAAGGCAGAAGGGAGAATTGGTGCCTCAGAGGAACCTCTCTCCGACCACCTTCAACTTCATCCTGTTGTTGCAATCTTGGGATTGTTTTGTTTCTTCTCCCACTTTCTCTCTCTTCACCCCCCACCACCCACTCACACATTGCCCCTCTCTCATATTTCTCTTTTTCCTAAAATTCCTTCACTTCCGAATTACTCGCACTCCCACTCCCACTCCCACGCGCTTTTTCTTATTCTTATTACTCCTCCTGCCTCACTATGCAATGCATGCTTATTCCTCCATGCTTCAACCTTTTATTTATTTATTTATTTATTAAATATTTCAAATATTATAGAATAATAATTTATTTCTATTTCTTATATTGATTAGGGATACTATTCAATCACATTTTTATCATCTATATATCGGGAAAAACCCAAGTCCCGCCAATCCTAGATCATTAAAAAGGGCTACCCACCATTTATCCACGTACCAAGCCCAATAGTGCTGGACGTGAGGGGGTGTATTGGGAAAAACCCAAGTCCCACATCGACTAGAGATTAGGCAATTGAATAATATATAAGTGGAAAGCAACCCTTACCTTACAAGCCGGTTTTGTAGGGTTGAGTTAGGCTTAATCCACTATTCTAAGATGGTATCAGAGCCATTTAGATCCACTTTAAAAATGGGCCACCCACCATTGATGCATGTCTCATAGGCATGAGGGGGTGTATTGGGAAAAACTCAAGTCCCGCCAATCCTAGATCATTAAAAAGGGCCACCCACCATTTATCCACGTACCAAGCCCAATAGTGCTGGACGTGAGGGGGTGTATTGGGAAAAACCCAAGTCCCACATCGACTAGAGATTACTAGAGATTAGGCAATTGAATAATATATAAGTGGAAAGCAACCCTTACCTTACAAGCCGGTTTTGTAGGGTTGAGTTAGGCTTAATCCACTATTCTAACACTATACTCTCTTTATTGTTGTTTTCTTTCAAATCAGAACGTTGTATTTTCTTTGCTTTCTTTTTTATCAAACACAAGAGAAAATTTTTCACAAATCGTGTTTTCCTTTTTTTTTTTCTTTCTTTGCGGTACTGTTCATTCATTCTAAATATAAAACTACTTGTGATTTAGGTTTATGACAATGTAATCATTCTCTATATGAGTTTCTATTAGTCATTCCAACGTGTTATTATACTATCCAATAATATTAGAAGTACTTATACGTTCTACGTACCACTTTATTGTATGGTGAAAATATATTAATTATTAAAATAAAAAATTATAATTTTATTTTTTATGTGTACAAAATGTTGATTGGGTTGTTTGATTTGTAAATATATCCTCAAAAGAGTTATTATCGGGTAGCATTTATAAATTTTACAAGCCAACATAAAGATTTATATTCTTATTTAACATGTATGTAAAAAGTTAATAATTTACAATATCATCAAAATTCACTTGGAAAGGAATCCCGATGATATGCATAGTTTAGTCTATTATTAGATTATTACATATTAGATAATACTATGAACTAAATCGGCAATCATTCTGATCCAAAGACTATTTCAAAATAAAATGGCTGAATTGGTTGTCACGATCTCAAGTAAAAAAGAAAAATCAACAAAAACACAATATGCATGACAATTAAATGCTCCCATAGATTAATTAGTGTCTGACTATGTGAAATTGTCCACCTAACCAGGAAGATGGAATAACATATTTCAACTTTACTTGTATTGTTCAACTTAATAATCAATTCCTCCTCTGTTTCAAATCATAAATGTCATTGCTATTGGTTGCTTTTTGGTCATGCTATTGCTGTTGGGGCCGTGTCTAAACTCTAACTGTTAACAAAATTTATATTTTTAAGTTTAATTTAATATAACTTGTTTGCTATTATTTTATTTTATTTCTATTCTATTATAAAATTATTAATTACAGTTTTATAAAGATTTAAATAAAGATCAATATATATATATATATATATATATATATATATATTTTTCTATTCTATTATTTTATTTTATAAAGATTAATATATATATATATATTCAATTCATTCATGTACAAAGTTTTCATATTTTAGGATTTAAATAAATAAAAAATCAAAGGAGATTCTATGTTTTGAATATTATTCAAATTTCCCTAAAATAGAAAAAAAAAACATAAAAATATTTTTGAAGCCTAGATTACAACCTCAACGACCTTGTAGTTAGCTGCTGATAGTGAACTGAACAGCAAAAACGGTTTTCCGAATCTTTCGCGCGAATTAGACAAACACGGTAAGGATCCAGGCATTGCAAAAATGACAAAGATACTTTACTCTCAAATTTTGTCCTTCCCAAAGGATGAAAATTCCTTTAATTTTTTTTTACTCATGATATTGAATTAACGATGAAGCTATTATTTTAGGCTTTTTTTTCTTCTTCAAATTCATGATTTAAAATTAAAATTTTAAAACTTAAAAACTAATTGTAACATCAGTTATATCAAATATTGAATTTTTTTTTAGCTTAATGTCATCACTTAAGTAACTAAAGTTTGTTTTTTAACACATTTCTAACACAATTTTTTATAGGTTAAAATTTATTAAAAGTTATAAAATTACATAGAATCACTAACTAAAATATAAATGTTAATCTTATAAAACTTAATTATAATTTTTAATAAATTATAATTAATAAAAAAATATATTCAAAATAGTGTTTTAGATAACCTATTCTAATATTTTTCAAAGTAAAATGAGAGTTTCATCATTTCCATTACGTTTTTCATGACTTAACTATGTAGTCATTTCTATTTTGTTTGTCGAAATAAATGAAGACATAATCATGTTAGTATCTATATTTATGGAGTCAAGATAAAAGTAACAATAAAAGTATTACTAATGCATAAAAGTTTTACTAATGAGTTAGAGCATCTACAATGGGGTTGCTTATAAGCAATCCCTGTGCCACATCACTGTCAAATCAGCTCTGACCCACTTTATGGGTTGTTTAAATTTTAGCAGGGTTGCTTGTAGAAGTAACTCTACTAAAATTTAAGCAACTCATAAAGTGGGCCAGAGCTGATTTGACAGTGATGTGGCACAAGCAACCCGCATTGGAGATGCATACTAAAAAGATTTACAAAAATTGAACATAATATCTCTAATGTATGAAATTATTATGAAAATGTAGTATAATTGATGGAGTAAATAAAGACAAATGCAATAATTATGAAAAAATTGAATACATATAAAATTATCAGGTATTTCATAATATTATATAGTATCAATTAGTTATATTATAATTTTATTTTTTTATTGTAAAAAATTAGATTTAATTTCTTTAAATAATTCAATTTGATCCGATAATTCTACATAAACTAAGTTAAAAAAAAAGCTTAGACCAGGTCAAAATGATGCAACTTATTTGACACTCAACATTTAGGCATCCAAATCCACATTCAATTATTTTTGGAATGTCACGCCTCATGTTTGGGAATTCATCTTCACATTAAGTTGAACTATATTCTTTTGTAAATGTTTGTTGCTCTCAAAGCAACACTTAGGATGCTTTTCCGTTGAACGTCAATGGCTCATAAAAGTAAATTACCTCACTGCCTCATTTTTCTTTCATCTGCAACATTATTCTTTGTACTTCATTCATTCTTGAATTTACAAGCATTTGATTTTTTAATACTCAAAAAATTATTAAAAATAAGCTTCACTAATTATATTAATACTAAAAATATAAAATAATAACAACAAGTTTTTTTTTTTTTTATCAATTCAGATATACTAAAAAAATAATAAAATAAACAATATTAATATTATAATATATAAAATTCATACTCATTTTAGTAATTACTCATATAAAAGTATTTTTAAAATAAAAGTATTTAAACATAAGTTAAGTTATATTAAATTTACTTTTAACTAAATTTGAGTTTACAAAATCAATTTCAACTAAACTTAATTTTATCAACGGTAATCCAAACACATACTCATATAAGTTCTAGATCTGCCTATGTGGAATCACGGGATTTTTTTTTATTTTTTTATCAATACCTCTTGTATCATGTATGGTATTTTTTTTATTGCAAGTAATAATTTTGTTAACAGAATTATTACAGATAACAAAATTCTCATCCAGATGATATTTTATTTAACGGTAGTAATTTTTAGAGATTTAATTTCTTCTAAAACATGTTGTGATATATTTTTTTTTATCACATCATATCACTTTACTTGAAGGTGCTATCAGACAGTTGCGAGGAAGAAGCTTCTACGATTTTTCTGTATTTTGTTGTGTTTTTTTATTTATGTTCTGATTAGATTTTTGGTGCTGTCAAATGATTAGTTAAGAATCCTGTTAGGCTGTTAATGCCTGCGGAAGGACAAGTCAGATATATTTCCAAAGGAAAACCTTAAAACGTGCATCCCATTTTGAAATATGGGGGTTGGACGATTAAGAAAGAGAATTAAAAAAAAAAAAAAAAAGGAGATTATGTAATGAAAATAAAAATGTTTTCTTTTACAAGGCAATGAGAAAAATGTTAATAATACAATGATTGAAATTCATTAAAAAAACATAAAATTTTACAAGTCTCATTTTTTTCTATAGACTTTACTTTATAATTTTATAAGTTTTGATAAATATTAACGAGTAATAAAAAATGTGTGGAAAAATATATTATTGATTAAAAAATACACGTACGTTTATGATTTACCCTTTTCCAAAAGATTTCATTTCACCTAGAAGTTATCCTGTCCTTGAATTTAGGCACTTACCCTAATGAGTAATGACCTAATAAATTATTGGGGACATTGCAATACAATACCCCACCTTAAATTCAAATTGTCTTTATAATTTTAGTAGGAATTATCTAACTCTGGTCAGTTAGTCACCATCACTTCTCATCAATGGCTGTACCAAATGACAATGTTAGCAACACTATTGGCCATTGCATTGCCGTTGATGGTCCCTGTATTTTTACTCTAAATTATGGCATTTATTAGCAGACATCCCATAAAGTGACTTTGCCCAATACAAATGTTTGGTGCAACAATAAAAAAAAATCCTTAAGTTTCGTTTTCTATTAGTCGAACATGTCTATATTTGATTTTGTTAAATTCTGATCGATGGGGATAATTCTTAAGTAACCAATTGGGCCTTGACCC